CAGAAACGGACAAACACACACACTGGATACACAGAAACGGACAAACACATACGCACGCTGAGTACACAGAAACTGACAGGCACACAGGCGCTTTCACACAGTAAACAGAATGGAAACTGAGGACAGTCTTTCCTTGGCAGAGCCTGTTCTCAGCAGAGCACAAGCAATATGAGAAAGTAAAGGAAGCTCTGGGTCCGTTTCCTCTCTCTCTCTGTCACACAGAGAGGGGTGACACCCCCCCTAAAAATAATGAAGCACAGCTGAAACGGCAAATCTGCCTGCACTCTTTCGAACATGTGGCATTAAACTCAGCCTTCTCCCTGCTCGTGCATGTCAGGCCCTGCAAGGATACCCCACCACAAAGAAGGAGAGCTGCACTTTCGAAGTCTTGCTTTCCTATTTGTTTTAATTCCAAACCAAAACTATAAGTAAGAGACAGATGAGGGGTAATTCAGTCATTTTGCAACAGAATATTGGTCAATATTGATACCATGGAAAAATAATTGATGTATGTTTTATAACATAACATATTTGATGTATGTTTTATTTATTTCATGTAAATGTGTAGTTTTTTACAGAGCACTGTAAAAACTCAGAGTCGTGCAATGCTCTGCACGATGATGCCCAGTACATTTCAATGAAGATGTCTCGGCACTTGATTTAAAGCGGTATGCGCTGTATTGTCTTTTGTTTCCCGCTGAAACCACAGGATAATTATTCTGAAAAGGATTTCCAATTAAATTATTGATTTCTGATATTTTTAATACTCTGTTGACACAATGTTACATAAGTGTGAGGTTCTTCAGTACAACGGAGAAGAGAAACACAGTCCCTCTCAGGCAGGGTCCTCATTCAAATACTCAACGTCTTTTTGGCTTTGATCAGTCAAATTTTAACTCAACACAGAAGGTAAAAGGGCCTTTTTTGGTTCTCTGTCACAACACATAGGGTTGTGTTCGTGTGGAACAAGCTGCCCAGCCATGTGGTTAAAGTTGATACCCCTGGCCCCTTTCAAGAAACAGCTGGATGAGATCTTCCAAGCCAGACAGGAGGAACTACTTTACACAAAGGGTTGTGGGGGTGTGGAACGGGCCCCTAAGCCACGCTGTTGAAGCCGACAACCTATCTTCTTTCAAGAAATGGCTGGATGATATCCTGGAATAATTAGCTACAGACTGCCAAACAAACCAGATGGGCCCAATCGCCTCTTCCGGCTTGTAACGTTTCTTAATATTTCTTATGACCAGGAGCTGCATCTTCAAGTTCAAGCTTCACAAAACCAGATATTTAAAATCGATAAAGATCAGAAAGCTGAACATGCCTGGCTCATCAGCATCAGGTAAAAAAAAACTGAGCTAGTTAAAATGGCACATGGAGCTGCTCCAGCTAATTCCCTGTCTTTCTTTAAGCAAGATGACACTGGAGATCGGAGGCATGGTGGCACAGTCTTTAGTAATACTGCCTCACAGCGTGGGTGTCCTGGGTTCGATTCTGGACCTGAGGTACTGTCTGTGTGGAGTCTGTACGTTCTCCGCATGTCAATGTGGGTTTCCTCCAGGAGCTCCGGTTTCCTCCCACGTTCCAAGACACGCTGGTAGATTAACTGGCTGCTGGGAAAAGTGGTCCTGGCGTGAGTGTCTGTGTCTGTGTCCCGCGAAGGACTGGAGCCCTGTCCGGGTGTGCACTGCCCCCGTCACCCTGAACTGGACAAGGTGGTTAGGTAGTGGCTGGATGGACGCTGGACAATGAGGCCAGCCGGCCCAGTCTTTCAGCTGCTCAACAGAAGTCAAGAGCGAGAGTTGGCCTGGTATCCCAGAACCCTTTGCACCGCATGGGCTGGGGTCGTCCATGAGCGAAAACACCGGGGCAGCGGCGTCAGCCCCCTCCCTTCCGAAAATGACTGATAAAAGAATTTTCCGTAAAAACCGCATCCTTTCTGGTGAGCTTTTCAGGGGCTGGTCTGGTGGAATCAGGAAATTAAGAGCTGCTTCAGTTGGATTTTCTTTTGACAGACAAAGGCCTTTTGAGCGCAGGGGCTGTGTGTGTTGACAGAATTATATAGGACAGCGTGCCGCCCCCCTCCTCCCTCCTCCCCGGCCGGCCGGCCAGCCCGCCCAGCTCCCTGACGCGCGAAGCAGCTGCTCCCGCCCAGGCGCCGCCCTCTCCCCGGCCTCTTTTCTAGGTCAGGAAAGCTCCGGAGCGGCAGGCCTGAGCGGGAGCCCTTTCCTCGGCTGACGAGCGTTCCCCGATCCCACCCCAGCGAGGGGAGAGCGCCGGAAGAGGGTCCACACGCGGACCCCCCACCGCGCCCCTCTCGCCCTGCCCGGCCCGGCTCGGCTCGTGATGGCACACGACGCGCACCAGTGAACAGCGGCTCGGCTGGTCCGGTCCGGTCCGGCCCGGGGGATGATCCGTGCCGACGAGCAGGTGGGAGTCGAGCTGGAATGAAAGCTGGCAGATCCACCTGCTCTCCTGGAGCAGGGGCTGGACGGCCCCTCCTTGCAGCACAGAGGCCCGACGAATCGAACGGAACGCCCACTCACCCCGCGTCGACTGCAGCGGTCCCGGCAGCACCCCCCACGTCCCCGCAGAGACACCCGCCCTGCCGTGCCAGCGTCCGCGTCAGGCCCTGCACGAAGGTTGCGGAAAACTGAAAAGAAAGCAGAGGAACGAGAGTGAACAGCGAGGTGCTGTGCAGCTCAACGCTACCAAGCAGGGGGCAGTCACTTCTGCTTCTGCCCCCTGAAATTTGGGGCAACCAGTCAGTGACCCCCACCCTCCCCCCCCGGTGACCTCTCCGGGCATCACGGCTCTCAGTCGGAGCCCAGTGAGGTCCACCCTGCAGGACACGCAGCCCAGCCCTGGAACAGACGAGAGTGATGGGAATCCGTCAGGAGGGCAGCACAAAAAAAAACCCAGCTGCATCTCGACTGTGGTCTTATTGCATTATTTAGAGGAATCATTAAAAAAAAATGTGTCGGTCTATTATATAATAAAATCTGGCACGGTTTTAGAATAGTGTTCCATAATTCCACTGTGGCTCCGGTGTTCTGGGGCCCTGCAGAGTGAGTGAGCGTTTCTGAGCGTGCGTGCACGTGTGCGAGAGATGAATGAATGTGTGTTATGAGTGTGCGTGTGTGTGTTTGTCTATGTGATGGGTGTGCGCGAGGGTGTCAATGTGATGAGAGTGAGTGTTTGTATGAGTGTGTATGAGCGTGTGTGAGGGAGTGAGAGAGTGTACGAGAGTTTGTGTGAATGAGCATGAGTGAGAGTGTGAGGGAGTGAGTGTATGAGAGTGTGAGGGAGTGAGTGAGAGTGTGTGTGAGTGCATGAGTGTGTATGAGTCAGAGTGTGTGTGTGTGAGTGAGCGTGAGTGAGAGTGTACGAGTGTGTATGAGGGTGTGTGACTGAGAGTGAGTGTGTGTGAGTGTATGAGTCAGAGTGAGTGTGTGTGTGTGAGTGAGCGTGAGTGAGAGTGTACGAGTGTGTATGAGGGTGTGTGACTGAGAGTGAGTGTATGTCAGAGTGAGTGTTTGTGAGTGTATGAGTGTGTGAGTGAGCAAGTGTGTGAGTGAGAGTGAGTGTACAAGTGTGTGTGAGTGTGCGAGTGCCCGAGTGTGTGAGTGAGTGATAGTGAGTGTACGAGTGTGTGTGAGTGTGCGAGTGTGTGAGTGAGTGATAGTGAGTGTACGAGTGTGTGAGTGTGCGAGTGTGTGAGTGAGTGATAGTGAGTGTACGAGTGTGTGTGAGCGTGCAAGTGTGTGAGTGAGTGATAGTGAGTGCCCGAGTGTGTGAGTGAGCGATAGTGAGTGTACGAGTGTGTGAGTGAGTGATAGTGAGTGCCCGAGTGT